TATTTGCCTAGTCACAAAATTAAAATTACCTGCATCAAAAATAATGAATAATTTCGGAATGTACCTACAATAAAATAGTTCTTTTTCACTATAAAAATCATAATTTTTATTGCCATTTTTGGCAATTTATCGACAATCACAAGATGTATGAAATTCTCTCCTCATCCGGCAACCTTGGAACGGTTCAGTTTCGTAATTTTAGAATTTTTAACGGTGTTTCTCGACCGCAAAACTCCGATCCGATAAGTCATTTATACCAAATTACGTCTATTTGCTGAATGGATCCCACGTAAAAGTACACACCCAAGCCGGTCGGAACAACAGTAAATAAATAAGTAATTTTATTATTCGCTGCTATTGCTTACGCTAATGATTTTTAAATTAGAATTTAGATGCCAATTGAGATTCTGCGTGCGCGACATTAAAATTGATTACACCTATCTGCTTCAGAAGAAACTGAATTGTTCCAAGTCAGCGTTTCAAATGATAATATTTGCATCGCAGTTTGGTGAAAATAAGTACCTATACTTTCATTTTGTTCTATCTATCTATAAATAGACAAAGACGCTCTCTGTTCTGAATAAATTCCAATTTTCTCTTTGTAACATTACCGCATCTGCAAACTTGCGGTTCTACGTTATTATTATTTAAACTGTACCATTGCATAAATATTATGAAAATTAAGAAACCACCGACGTTACGTTATATTGACATATGTCAAAAGTCAGTTAAAAATACCACAATACTGACACTTGTCAAATTAACATTTAAACTCCCGCGTTAATTATTTTATTCCAAATTCTACACATTTCTTGAATGAATCGTTAATCCACTTTTCTGTATTATCAAGATATACATAGGTATTTACATGTTTCCTGTAAGAATAATGTTTATTTATGTAGCGACTGTACCTTGGGGCGATTGTTTCTGGAAAATAAACATCGTCTTAATTTGGAAAAATGTTTATGACTTTTTAATTGGTGCTTGTAATAGACATATTCTGTTGTTACAATAAGTGAGTAAACACATGTTTTGAATTTAAAACAAACAGCTTCAATTCGAATCGGGGTATATACAGGGCCCGTTATTTTTTCGTCTATCTACCGGTTGATTTTTTTTTCGAAGGTCGGCAATAGGCGAAGAATCAGTGGCGTTCGTAAGATTACGGGAATTTAAAATTATCAATAATTTTTGTGTTCAATAATCAATTAATAATTTATACAATTATTATGGTAATTATAATTTTGTAATAATCAATCGTTACTCGTCAAATAAATATGGGACAATTTGTGTTACAATTATTACTCACAACAAATTATTATGTGTGTGAAATTAATACTTAGCATTTTAAGTACTAATCGATAAATAACTAGGCGTATGAATAACTGTAAGTAATGTACCATTACCATTAATTGAAAATAAATTTCACTGCAGATAACACCGCATTAGCGTAACTACTTGCATACCTACAATAAATTATCACTTCTCAAAGATTTAACCACCGTTTAAGTTTGTGTAACATTCGCTAAATTTCGAAAATATTTTCGTCATTATTGATCCCGTAAGTAAAATATATATTTTTTATTGGCAGAAGTCTCATATCACCACCTTCGAAGTGAAATAACATGTCAGGTTTTCCTGGTGACAGGAAAACAAATTATCTCCAACTGCCAGATTTTCTTTTATCTCTTGAACTGAAAAGTGTAATTGTGGATTTCAAATTACAATTTTTAATGGTTCTGGAGCGTACTATGTGGTTCTATGTGGTTCTAGATAGTTCTAAATGTTTGTAGACAGTTCTAAATGGTTTTGGAGTGTTCTATATTCAGCTAGATAGTTCCGAAACCTTCTGGAGCGTTCTAAATGGTCTTTATAGGGTGTTTTTATGCAGTAAAAAATGTATTATATTTGAGCAGTAATAATATGAATTAAATGGATCGTTATTACTATGTGAATTAACTATAACTAACATTTCAACGTTCGTTACACTAGACAAAAGAGTTAAAAGTAATAGAAAAAATGCCGCAAAAATTATATTTATTAATAAATTCAACACATTCGTAATGTTTAGCCTGAAAGTTCCGCACCTTAAATTAACAAACGCCAATTAAAAGGAAAAAAAATATATCACATCAGCGCATTTGTTCTACACCCGTGCACCGTAAATTTTTCGATCCCCCTTATTAAAATTTAAAATATTCGGCGATGTGTGTGCGTCGGTATCTTAAATTAAAAAAAATACTGCCCATTATCTCGGTAATATGTCCGTTTTCGTTCGGTAATTAGGCGCGTAATTACCGGTAATTAATATTATTTATTTATGCAATTAGACGAGCAGAAACGGCGATAACTTCGGATGGGCATGGGAAAGGCAACACAAGCCGGGGTTAATAAGGTGGGTTACCTACCCGACTTTTTACCTGAGCATTGGGCAAAAGGTATAAAGGCGTTCAAGGATAAATCGGCCGGTTTAGCGGTTTGCGTTGTGCATCCGAATTGTGAGATGGTATAATTTAATACGGGTATAACGGACTCCTATAAGTATTTTTAAAATATATTTGCTCCTGGATATACAGTTGGTGCAAAACAAATATCAATGCACGTCACCTATAATCGTCACGTCACAAGTAGGCCGTGTTGCCGAACTTTTTTAGAGTTTACAAAATCTAGGAATTTTCTAAAATTGTCTAAAATTGGCAAAATGACAAGAACAAATTGAAAATTAGGGGTATCTGTTTCTAAACGGTGGACGTATTCAGGGGCTCACTATAATTAATCATCAAATTCCTTTATCAACTGAAATATTAAACAGTGTAAACTAGAAAAAAATAGAAGAAATTGGAAACTAAAAGTACCGATCGGATGACAACGGCAACTATGCAACTTGACAGTCAGTGCCTACCAACTACGTTGGTACACAAACGTTGAATTTTAACAATATTGGATGATTTAATTCTGCTTTTCAACATTTTCTATCATACCTTGTCAATAATTTAATTAAATTCTGCAGGTATTAAGCTTAATCAATTTTGTGTATTTATTTTTAAAAGTTGGTCACAATGCTTGTCAAATATGACGACAGTATTGACGTGCATTGATATTTGTTTTGCACAAACTATACGTAAAAATAACGTATCGTTATTTTACGTAAGTTCGCAATCACTCCCTTTAAAACAGCGTTTTTACAAGTTCATCGTGCAATTACCACGACTAAAGAAACCTATCGGGATGGTTCGATGGTTTTGGCTTGTGGATTAAACTGCAGCTGAATCCAATTCGTTGATTCGAAGCGTTACTTGCAAATTTTATACATTTTATGTAGCCGTGAAATGCAGACGGCCGAATGTAAATGACACTGGTGGCCTTGAAAATCGAAGAAATCCGTTTCGGTACGACCGAAACTACTATAATTTTATTCGATGCACGATGCACCATTATTTGTTATTTGCCAGAATTAACAGCGCACATTCCGATATATTAAGAGAGGTGAAAATTGCACTCAAACTATAAATTATACGCTAGTTTTAATACACGAAATAAAATCAATTTTTTTGGTATATTTTGGTGTGTTTATTCCAAATATGCCCTCGAAAGAATTGAGTACAACTAGTTTCTTTAATTTGTCGAACTTTGTCATCATTCAGAAGCGTCCTAAATGGTTCAGGAGCGTTCTAAATGGTTCTACTCAATTCTAAATGTTTTTGGAGCGTTCCATATGGTTGTAGACAGCTCTAAATAGTGTTCTAGGAGACTATTGTTGGACATTAAAACGCGAAACCGACTCAAAATCGTACCAAGAAAAACAAAAATTTAATGCTCGGGCATTTCTAATTTGTAGTATCTTTACAAAACCTTATAAAGCAGTGAAATTAGGCAGTAAAAGTCCACTAGACTACATAAGTCACTGGCTTATTCCCCAAATGCTGGGTAATATTAATATTTTCTGTAACAATTACCTAAAACTTCATTTATTTACTGATGTTAGAAGTAGTCAAGACATTTTTAAAATAAGTTTGAAGTACCTACGTTTTCGAAAGAGGATGTAAAATGGCCCGTACGGGAACACCCATAACTCATCTGTCGAATCGTTTTGTCGACACACGTGATATTATTTTCGGCGCTTCTTCGCCTAATTTATGGCGTCTTATTCGAAGAGGTGTATTTTTGATAGTCGAAAAGTGATTCATTTGAGCGAAAACAGCTCGTTTCATTTCGCTCGTCGCAATATTTTTCGGATTACAATTGAGTTAGTACAAAATAATATTATTTTTTTTGTTAGGGAATCTATTTCGGGCGCCCCTCATACGCACTCGGAAATAAATTAAATGTCTCCAAAAATAATTGCGTCGGCGTTATAAATACATTTCAAATAATAACAGTGTATACATCTCTATTTCAGAATAATTTGTTAGTATTTTTATTAACTACAGTGAGACTAGACTAACTATAGATAGATATGGTATTATACGCAATAGTGTGAGGTTTGTTATTAATCCTGTTAAAAAGTTTTTTGTGAAACTTAATGTTTAAAGTAAACAAATTGTTCCTAAATATCCACTTGTCTATGATAATTTGCAATTTTTTATATATTTTATACTTAAATTCAATCAAGTTTTATTACACGAGTCGGCCCGATTCTCTCACCATAAATCACTAATTACGAATTCAAAAATTTGTTATTACAATTTTTTTGATGCCACTTGCAAATTAGAAATAATAATTATTGTTATGTAGTACTTACACAACTTGTAACGTGATAATATCATAGCAAAACAGTGGTACATTTTTGTGCATGTATTGGAAACTAAAATAACACATTCTATTATAAGGAATCAAGCACTCATGACTTGGAATAACAACATAGAGCAAATATTATATCTTTATTACACCTATAGATCGATTAATATAGCTGAAAATGGGTAGTTTATATGCGCAATGGCAAAAATATAAGACACTCAGTTGTTTAAAATTATCTAATAAAATATTTTTTTTTGTTGCAGATATCGAGAGGCGTTCATCAAAGATGATCCAGTAACACAAACAATACAAACGAGACAAATCAAGTAGTAGCATAGCAAACATACCGAATCTACCTCAACACTGAAGAACACACAAACAAACTCAAATTACATACCAAATATTCATAAGTGCCCAATACGTTTAAATGCTAAAGAGATAGCACACCGATTCATCGCACCGAGTGCGTCGTCTACCTCAACAGTTTCGCAACGGCCCCATCATTGGCGTAGAAATAGCCCCATCACTTTGCCCAATGGGGGGCTTCACCTCCCCAGAGCAGCAGTACTCGCTGCGATGGAACGACTTCCACTCCTCCATACTGTCCTCGTTCCGCCACCTCCGGGACGAGGAGGACTTCGTGGACGTCACGTTGGCGTGCGACGGTTGCTCGTTCACCGCCCACAAGGTGGTCCTCTCCGCCTGCAGCCCCTATTTCAAGCGGCTCTTGAAAGCGAATCCCTGCCAACATCCCATCGTCATCCTGAGGGACGTGCAAGAAAAAGATATGGAAAGTTTGTTAAGGTAAGAAGTCGAATCTAGCTAATAAATACTACTGTGACAAAAAAGTAAGTACCCGGAACTTTGGAATAAAACGCAAAAATTGTGTCTCCAAAAAAGAGTGGCCTTCAAAATATATGCTCCATTTGAAGCGATGCACATAGTCAGGCGCCTTTTCCAATCTTTGAAGCATTTTTAAAGGCCCTTTTTGGTACGGATTTTAGCTCTTACGAATTTTCTTTGATAGTATTTATGGAGTCAAAACGGGATCTCGGAGTGGTAAGAGATGCTATATTTCTGGTGAGTAAAGTTGCTGGCCGATGGTATTTCACACGAACCAGCATGTCTACATCGACCAGTTGATGATATCGTTTTTAAAGGAAACTCTATCGGAACGAGCCTCAATTCGCAGCATGTCTGATTGATTGAGCAAAATCAAACGAGCGGTTTAACGGGAGATGTTGAGTTCAAATGCTACTTCTCTAATACTAGCATGATGATTTTCGAACTCAATTTCCTTCATTTTCTCGCAGTTATCGTTGGTTGAAGAGGTCGAAGACTGCCCGGAACAAGACAAGTCTTTATAGCGATCTCCCGACTGTCTATAAAAGTTCAAAGTAATCAATTCAAAATACGAGACAAACTCTTAGTTCATTATTTTTGTCAATTGCAAAATTCGCAGAGCACTACTGACATGAACTGATTAAATCAGCTGCTGCAACCAAACTGATTGAGAAATCTCTCTAATTTTTTGCATGCTAAGTGAAGGTTTTTTAAACCACAATTTCCGGGTTGATACTTTTTTGTCAGAAGGTAGAATCATTTTTAGTCACCCTAAATCTTTCAATAATCCGCATAAAATATTTCTTAAGCAATAAAAACTATTATTAGTGCGTACAAGCATCTTTTGTGTACTCAGTTTCTTCTAGCTTTAAAGTCACACATATGTGACGAGTTCGCTCCAGATATTATTTTTAAAATTTATACGTACTTAACGTCAACGTGAAGACTCACCGGGCGCATTTCAAAACGGTCCATTAATAGTCTATTATTATCCGGGTTTTAATCTTTCCACGCTCGGCCGGGACACGCCGTATAAATTCTTTTATTACGCAATGCGTGGATTATAAAAATCCTCATTAAGGAGCGAAAAGTGTCTCTAGTCGAGAAACACCGGCCCCGAAAATAACACCTGCCGCGCGTAACGCATCACACGCTTAACGTTTTGACTCCTTCCTACCGAATTAATTCGTATAAACGGTCGGGGAAATTTGTACGAGTCGTGATTGATATGATATCAGGGATTGTTCAACGATTTACAGTTGGAAATGTTCAGAGATGGATTCGAATTTTGTAACGTGCCGAGATCCAGGAGTGCTATTAGAAATGGTAAAAGCAGCTTTAAGAATTGCTGAATTGTGGAACAATGCATTATAATAAGGAGAGGCAAATAATTGAAAACCCATCAAAAAAAGATGAACAAAAATTTCTCAATTGATGAAAATGAGCTGTAAAAATGTAAATATTCAAATAAACACAGGAAATCAAATGGCCAGTACGGCCCTGTTGTAAAACCGAGCTAGCCCATTCTGTCTATTGTAATTAATTTTTTTTCGGATAGACCGCTGGCCGAAATTTGTGGTTCGAAAATTATCGATACACTCGCATGAGGTAAATGTTGAGTTTGATAGACACTTTTTTATTACCCAAAGTAGCCGGTTCGAGGAACCGAGAAGTGCGAGATCACGATTTTACGCATTTTTGATTGATTTGTTTCAGTCCGTTTGACGCGAATACAATGAAAGAGTTTAAAAAATAAATTAGATTATGGTTTTTTTTTCGGAGTCTTTTCTCGGCGTGTTTGTTTTGAACGCGATCGGTTATAGGCCGTAAAGTTCACATTTTTGAATAAATTAGAAGGAAAAAATCAAACGAACTTACCAAAAAGGTCAAACTGACTATTTACCTACATAATATTTATTATTTCTGTCCAATTGACTATAAAATATTCTCATGTTTTTTAATCAACTAATCACTCAAACTCTACAGTAGGTATACTCGCAGTAAGATACTTGCTGAATTATTATCTACATGATTTCAACCATCATTATACACGGTGTTCCAAAATCACTGTTCAGGACATATGTTCATATGAAGTGTTTTTCTTAAAATGGGTCCAAGATTCACCCTCTTAAATATTAGCATGCCTTTATGGAACACCCTGAACATTATAGATAATCGAAATCCAGTTCATTATTTCTCAAAAAAAAACACATGTAAGCACAGAAGCATCAGAGGATCACGCTTTAAAGAAAATCTAAAAAAATGAACGACCGCAACGACACATTGTGCGTACATTAAAAGAATGGAAAACATTATTTATTATACCGATAATTCAAACTCCGTGTAGGCAGGTAACCATTAGTCACTCTTTATTTATTTATGACTATTTATTTAAGCGGCCATAAATCAGATTTTTGGCTATTTTCTGTGATTAACTTCAAGATCCTGTATCAATAATCAGTGAGAATGTTCGAACGGGCCGCTTTGTATATTAGCCGCTAATTCGAAAATACGTATTTATTAAGAGTTTACCGTACCCGGTGTTTTACAATTGCTGTGAAATTGGACAAGGTGAAGTCAAAATCCTGAGCAAATATGAAAAATAAGCTTGGTATTTAATTAAAGCGCCATGGAGAGAGAGATCTGTCCTTTACTGTTTTCTCCTTTCATGCACTTAATTTCAATCCCAAAGGAATCTTTTTATTTGGGCTATACCTACAGTGAGTAGGGGACAAGCGAAAGGTCAATTGCAAGATTTGAAAATGCTAATTCAAATGAGGCTTTTTCAAAAATTTGATAACACTATAGTTTACAAGGTTCTGTGCAAAGAACTTATAGGATATTGGGAGCCATGCATTTTTGATTAACGAACAAAAATTTGTAGTATAGATAATAAAAAATATAGCATGTCACATAACCGAAATTTACTAATGAAATTAGTTTGTTTTATCATGATTTTTATATCTATGCACTACATGAAAAGAAATTACAAATTAGAAATGCTGCGAGCATAAAATTTTTGTTTTTTTTTGTATGATCTTGGATATAAGTTTCTACATGGATATAAGTTTAAAAATCCTTAAAATATTTTTTTTGTTTCAGGTTTATGTATAATGGAGAAGTGCATATAGGACAAGAAAGGCTTACGGATTTTATAAAGACTGCACAAATGTTACAAGTCAGAGGACTGGCCGACGTATCGGCGGCTGGTAATGCTGGACAAAGACTGACTACTGCCTCAGAACAAAAAATTTCACCTGTAAGTAAATATATTTACCATTAATTCCACTTTAATTAATAATTTTACTCCTATTTCTTGGACATTTCTCTCAATAACTAGTAATACCACAAGTACCAGTTGGGTTGCCTAACCTTTTTTTATTAAAGGAACTCACTACATTAAAGTTCAACAAGAATAGTAAATTGGTCTAAATTAATCTTGTAATATGCAAATAATCGGGTGTTGCCACAGGGAGAGATTTTAATTTTGATTTACTAGCCATTAAAAATCGAGTTCTAATATTTTTGCGACACTTTCACTTATGATAAACGACAGATTTTGACGCGGAAAAATTAATACATAACGTAACGTAACACATAACAACGTTAGAATTCAAAGCAACCTATGATAATTGCAAATATTCGCTGGTATGCTAATAAAATGTTACTGAATATTTCTACAATTTTTCCATTACTTTAGCCTCTTCCGTAATCGTATTGTTCTTTATTAGAGACGTCGCCCCTTTAACGTGAAACTTACCTATAAACGTCTATAATTACACCGAACACTCCCATTTTATCCATCACCTAACGAGTCTAGCGTATTTCGATTATTACTTTAATAACTGCTCATCTTAATACCGAAATTAATAACAGATATAAATTTGATATACGTTATTTTCTTGATAGCAAATTAACAAGTATCTAGGTGCGCCGTTAAATTGTTCGAATTGAATGTAAGTCCGAAAGGATTAACAACTTTTTTTTTACTAATATGATACATTATGTGCTTAATGCTGTTAATTAAAATGAGTATAAACTTTAACGTAAAAAATATTTAATGCTAATGATAGCTTTTTGTATTTGAGTTCATCATATGATTTAGTGGTACCTAATGTTGCAGATTTTGATTTGCAATTAAGTTATAATAAATTCCGGCAAGAAAAAATTAGAAAATGTAGTTGGTACTTATATAAATTAGAGAGTATATTTATTGCAAAAATAACGATATTTTTATTTTTAACGATGTAATCTTTATTAATATATTAATATAACGGTCAATTCAAATTTGAATTATTCAAATCGAAAGCTAGAAATCTAACTTGAATTACTCAAATAAAACGAAAGTGCTAAACACCGACGAAATTAAATAATTGCATACTTTTTGACACTGTCGTAATAATAGATATGATTCCCAAACCGTTGACGTTTATAAATGATCTCATCAAAATCACCCGACGTTATTTAACGGCAAAACTGCATATAGGCTCGAAATTTACATTTTTTAGTTTAGCGCTGAACGATCGATTTCAAAATTTCAATTACCGCAATTCCTCATAGGGAATCAATAAAACGAACCGTTGCCATCAAATCATACCTAATAGAAATTCTGATATATGTGATGAATTATGCCGCTACCTAGGAGGTCCGCCCGGCCAGTTAAAGCCTACTAATGACGATCATTTCCAGCGATTTGAACGTGATTGAATATAAAATACATTATTTTTCTGTCGCTTTATAATACTTACCTTCGTACGAGATATCAAATATCACCGTTCAATATTTATTTTAACATCCACGATCGAAAGATTTACGTTATAATAACGCATACGTTATTCCAACTGCGCATTTGTACGCCGCTCGATGGGAAATAAATTTCGAATTGTTTAATTGCGCTCTTAATTGTTCGAATTATTTTATGTTAATGACGACATCGCATCGGCTCTAATTGCGGCTAACGAACGTTTACCGAACAATGGAAAAACATTACGTTCTTCGTTTGTATACTGTGTAATTATCTGTATCGAATAAGTTTTCGTGGTTAATTGTTATTTAAATTTATGTGTGAAAACAAGAGCAATAATATGGCGAGTGCTGTAATTTCTAGATAATTTTCTAATAACCCCTTCGAGGAGTCGGAAATTATTACGTGGGATGTAATGCTTCTTCAAAAAATTCATGTATAGATATTTAAGTACCTATAGTAATTGTGTACATTTTTCTATCATAGCCCAATCATGAAATTCATTGTGTCTAATTTGACTGGGCTATTAGAGAGCCTTTATCTTAAAAATATTCAATTTACAAAAATTGATCCTTTTTACGTGTAAATAACTCTTTTAGGTATGGATACATAACGATCATATTAGACAGTCTTGACCCTCTTGGTGAAATAAATGACTCCTTTGGACACAAATAAATTAAATTAGGTACAAAAGGTTATTGACAAGAATTTTAATTTTAAAAGTCAACGCACTTTTTTTATTATTTTATTTCGCTTATTATTTATGTACCTAAAGTGTGTCCTGAAGTTCATTGTTTTATTGATCTTTTAGAAATTATTTGGATATTTGCGGGTATCTTCCACTACACTGATTTATTCAATTTTATTTATCTTGCAGCTGCTTTTCTGTTGAATTTAAGAAATAAATTAAGGTTACACACCTACCGATTTTAATCAGATAAAAAGGTCATATGTTCAACACCGCCAAAATCAATAAGTGCAAATTTCCAATAGCTAATCGGCAATTAAATGTGAAATTTATGCGGGATCAAAGTTATTAAAATAAAATACTTTGTTAGAATGGCTAATGGCGGATTTTTTTTCTAAAGGATTGTTACTTTAATTGGGCTCAGTGGACTTCCTTATTGCCATCGATGAATGCTTACATTAAATGTTGATTAAATTTATGACCAATTGCCAAATACCTGTAAGTATCATGCATATTCAGCAGAAACCAGTTTTTTTTAGTTCAAATGACTCTTTTTTATTGAGTAGGTATACCGATTTACCTAACAGCAATACAAGCATTCAGCGGATTTGGTATCCATGAAAATGTGCCTCATCCTTTTCGAACATGTTGATGGCTAAGTAGATATACAAATCACAGTTAATACATTGATAAAAATCGTGGGAGTTTATTACCAACTGAATCTACTATTTTTAATATTCACCAAAGGAGAGGCATAAATTTAAGAACGACATAAAAGTAGGTATAATAAAGCTCTTTATTAACGCGCTTTATCGAAACAAAGGAAATTTTAGCAGATCATTGAATTAAATATAAAAACCTTTAAGAATAACATGTGCGACAATTTCATGGTAAAAATTAATTGTTACTAATGAACATGTGTTATCCATAAATTCGAATTTGGGTCATAAAAACCGAATATTAGTTAATTAAAAATATTAATTAACCTAGAAAATCTCAGTTCTGTCATAGAAATAGTTACGATTATTATATATTAAAATTCGTTAATTTTCCATTCGCAAATTTGTTCCTGCGTGTTTCATTACAAGTTCTCGCTGGTCAAAAAAAAACCGTTGAGGCGTATCGTAAAAAACGACATTTAAATATCCATAAAAATAAAATTTGCAACGCTTGCCTTATTATTCAAATCGGTTGTTGAGAATAGAATATAGAAAATGCAATAAATAAAAGCAAACCCGTTTTTTCCTATTAGAATTGCTATTATCTGATTATTCTAATCAAACGGAAAAGAGGCCGCAACTGTCGCCGAAAAATATTAATTTACAGTCGGTAAAGTTTCAAATCTATCGAGTTAATTAGTAAAAATTGTACTAAAATTAACGCGAGCAATGTTTTCTTCATTCCTCCGTGAATACACCTACTGTGTACGATCGCAATTATAAACATTATACATATTATGTGTGAGTGTAGATATATCTCTTTCGTACATTTCAACAATAAAAAGTAATTTGTAATTACCGCGCCATTGCGTAAGATTACGGCTCACCATTACGACTACGTAAAATACACGTGTGCGTGTTCCACAATCGCGGCGGGTGAGCGTTTTCATGAATGAAATTTGAATATTAAACGCTTCCCCAGATTCGCTTCTACCGGGAGCCTTTGCTTGATTCGAAACCCTCCTTAGTTTTATAAGGCGACATATTTTTCGACAGTCCGGTTTCTTGTATAGAAAAATCCATTTTTATTCCAGTTAAATTGTATTACTAGCTTTTGGGATATAGTAAGAAGATAAAAATGTTACTCATTAGGTGAAAGAAAGTAGCATAATTTATTACATTCCCATTTTTTTTCAAAATGTGCTTCTACGCAGCACGAAAAACAAGTTTCAAAACAAGTTGTGATTTTTTAGAAATTTCCATTAATTATGAAACGGACCCCGTACCTGCGAGATCGCATTCTCCTGATTTAAAGGCTAGTAGGAACTTTCGGTGGCGCATGGGCGGTGGGTTGTGTCGATTCCGATCGGAATCGAAATTGATTATTGAAATTAAGATTTTCTCTACGCCGACAAGAATGCGTTTTTTAATCTTGTTATTAACTTATCTCGATCCAGGCGCGAAATCTACCTTCGTCTATTTTTATTCAAACATTCATTGATCCGACTTTTCCACTCGCAATGATTCAGATTCAGAGGATAAAGTATGGGAAAAAATAGGTCACACTTTTAGCGCCATTTCAACACTTTTTCTGCTCTTTTATTTCAATTAATTTATCAACTGGTAGATCTTGATAAATTTCGGTAGGTAATCTATGTTTAGTATTAAAATGGAAATTTTGCATTAGAAAAAATAAAAATGCTCGGCACCTATTTTAAATAAGCCCCTTCTACCCTCCTCTGCCCCTCCTTACTTCCTTCTACCCTCCCTACCCTCCTCTACCCCTTACTATCCCTTATGCCGCTCTTACCCCTTCTACTTTATTAAATTTTCTTGAATCTCCTTGAATCTCCTTGAATCTCCTTGAATTTTCTTGAATCTTCTTGAATCTTCTTGAATCTTCTTGAATCTTCTTGAATCTTCTTGAATCCTACTTTGCCCCTACCCACTTCTACTTTCCTCTACTCCTACCTACCCTCGTCTACTCCTCACTTCTACCCCTCACTACCATCCTCAACCATTTCCTACCCCCATCTACCACTAATCTCTACCTTCTTGAATAATCTGAACGCCATTATCACTGATATAATAGTGATTTAACGTATAATCGAATAATTATTTCTATTCTAGTCATCATCGTCACTACCTTGGGCGACAGACAGACCTGAAGCTCGAAACGCGGACATCTCCTCGCCGCCGGCGAAGAGGTCGCGAAGTTCGGATCGCATGGGTAGCTACACGCCGGACAGGGGGCGCAGCCCCTCGAGACGCCCCACCGGCAACGGTAGCCACGAAGTCGATCCCGGCACGTTGCTGGGACAGGCGCTCGGGACAGGAGCCGGTACGCCCTCGATAAAAGAGGTAAGATGTTCTGAATCCACTTGCTTTCTTTCTTTGGGGGATGTTGCGATTGCTGCAATGGTGTCGATTTGTTGTTGCAGAAAGTGAACTCCGATTCATCGATACAAGCCCAATCGGCGGGCGAAGACAGCAATAGCAGCGATACGGCCATGAGCGATCATGGCGATGATCCTGTCACCCTAAAGACTGAACCATCGGATTACTCCATGCTCGATGATCATCATCCGTTTAGCACCAACGGCGGGATTATGGATCCGTCGAGGACGCCCGGAGGCTTCCATAACGCACTGTTAGGACTCCAAGGTGAGATCTAGAATTAGATACAACCATGCTAAAAATGTAGCTTCACTTATACCTCATCGAAAGTTGCTTGGCAGTTGGAATTTTTAAGAATTTTGATGAGTAGTTGCAAAATTTATAAAAGGGAGGGGTATTAGGTAACTATAGAGCTCAATTGATACTCATCTATTGAAGAATAAAGAGAAATCGAAGAAGATTTTGTATTGGGCTATTTTGTCTTTGGGCTATTTTGTCAGGGCTATTTTGTCTTGGGATAATCATACTTCTTTAATTTTATCCATCTTTCTTCCCTGCTTGCGCATCTAGATAATGCAATTTTCAACTGCCGAGCTATATTTAGTGAGGTATAGGTTATAGATTAAAAACAAAAACATTATAACTAATGTCTTTGTCAAAATAACTATAGTTGTAATGTCTTAGATTAAAAACGTTTCTTCAAATATTCTTTCTTCAAACCCAATTTACTTATACAATTACCTACTACAAAGTAGAAGAAATATTATTGATTTTCCTGTACATAAAACAACCAGTTTTCTTTTTTTCACAGTATTTTTAGTAACGCTTTATTACGCTGATTGTATCAAAAATCAAATAAATCGTGCGAAATCAGATTTTATGAAATTATTCCTACTTAAAACGTACGACAATTGAGTCCTTTTCGTGACAAAGTCTTATTACATTCGATAAAATGGCAGTAATTCTTTGGTAATAATTGTTATATAAAAATATTCAAGGATAAATATTTGCTCGATATCATCGAGTAATTATTAAATATAACGAAGATTGTAAATTTTATTTTTTACAGGTTTGGGAGGATTAATGCCCGGCCCTTCGGGAATGCACAATAGTCCTGACAATTTCGGTAAGTTTTAGTCTCAAATTATTCCATGTGCAAAATACATTTTTAAAAAACTATTAACTGAACTCAAATAAATACCTTTAGTGGGTATAGTTGAGAAGTCTGCTAATATTTACAGAATGATTTAGTGATTATGCCTCCTTGTAAATTGATCTTAACAATTCGTTCAATGGACACCAAGTAATATAATACAATACCCGCTAATTTCTCGTTCTTACGGTAATTATAAATTAATTTTTGTTCACGGTTTGCTCATACGTTAATCGTTAAATCACTAATATTATAACTCCCATACTTATTTAGATGTAATTAATAATTATATAACAATGTTATTACGTTATTCCAAATAAATGTATGAAGGTTTTAACATTTACATCAACGATTTATTAAAGATTAATTATTTAAATATTTATCATAAGCAAGAGATTAATAACCATCGTGGTAATTGTTAATCTTTTTTAATGAGCCTTTTTATAAAAGTAACGAGCTATAAATTATTACTATTAATATTTGAATTATTTTCTTCCATTATGCTGCGCACAATGGTGTAAAAAACGCACCCCAAAAGAACTGAAAAACTCAATTCTATGTATCGATTGTACACCCTATAATCTCCCTTAACTATCCCTAATACCTAAACATAGGCAGAGGTCTATATTCCGTGCCTATATCCCATAACCTAGACGTTTATAACTCCGCATTCGATAAAAAGCCCTATCGTTTCGGTATATTTTAAGAAATTACATACAGCCCTTGTCCTTTTCAATTCAGTACCTACCTTCCCTGCTATCCGTTCTTTTTTACACCTTCGATATACTGAAGTTGAAAAGAGAAGGCAATGGATTTTACTCGTTTTCGTTATGTGTGCTTGACATTGCATGTAGGTAATGGTATCGAGGTTAAATGTAATCAAAGTAAATTATGTGATTTTTGTTATAAAGGGTGTTTAAAAGGTTGCTTATGCAGCGTTAGAGAGTTTCTATTGTATTTTATTGACGTTAAAATAACGTAACGCTATATTTACGTAAAATTCTGCTGATTGCCTGGATACTTACGGAAAGTTTCCTTGAAAGATAAGTTTCCTTTGTTTTAGCGTTTAATGGTTTTCATACGTTTTCGCACACAGTGAAAGGTCATATTACACTTATTTTTTTTCTTTCTTTCTCCCACCCCTACAGGCTGGTATAGCTGATAAACAGCTTCTATCCATTTTCCAGGCTCTCTCTGGATTTTCTCACACTTGCCCGAATATCCGTCGGAACGTGTTCATTTCCTTTTTTTCCCCGTCGAATCGGGGACGTCCATGAAAACGTTATTTTCGATGTTAAACAGTGAAGAAATTGCCGGCGGCGTCTTCGATCGATTTTGTGTTTTTTCCGATTTCTCAAATGATAAATAACGCGGGGTCGAACGAAGAGAACAGGATTATCGAGCAATTTATATAAATAAGCCTAAAGAGGGGATAGCGAATTTTCGCGTTGTTTATAATACGGATTTATACAACACTAATGATCCGTTTTGTCACTTAAAAATTTAACGTAGCTATAGAATTACGTTAACTTAGCGTATCGCTGTTCTTACGTTAGAGCATTTTCATATGGTGCAATATATTGCAAGCTATCAAAAATTATTGCATGTGATAACGCTTGCATTTTAACTGCAATGCAATATTGCAACAATTTATTGCACCGCGTGTGAAAAACCTCATACGTATGAAAAATTAACGTAACGTTATTTTTACGTGAACACAATATTTCAACGGAATTCTTGGAAATACCCCCGGCGCTCATTTCGCCTTGGCACTGAGTTAGAAAACCAAACAGCCCGAATTTATTTTATTGTCCCGGTTTTCCCGAAAATAAACTCCTCGTTCCAAACAGGATTTCGATTCATTACCGCGAACCGTAAGGGGGGAATCGCGGGAGCTGGAACGGGAATAGGAAGGAATATATACCTATATATTCTCGATAATAGTTTTTCGGTAATTGACTCTTAACACGGAATGCATGTACGGGGAAAATTGATTGCCGGAGAAAAAGTATACAATGTTTTCGAGAAAAATTAATGGAATATGTTTCCGTTTTGTAAGTATAAAAAGATAATCGAATGTGTATCTTCGAATCGCTGTTGGGTGGATTTAAGCAAGAAACTTGCACGATTTTCCGCCTGAACAATTTGTAAAGAAAATTACAGAGTGGCTCAAACAAATATGATATGGTCTATTTTACGTGCAAAAATATGAAATTTAACGATTTAAAAAAAATATCTGTAGAGATCCGGAATAATCCGGAAAACTTTGTTACTGTTAAAAAATTTGGAGACCAAGTACGTACTGAAAGTTTTGTTACATAAATATAAAATTGCACCCTTGAGGGCTAAAAAAAAAGATAATTTTCAAATTTTAAGAAGCTTTAGTTCCAAAAGGAAGCAATTGCGGACACACGTTTATTGTAAAAAAAACTTTATAAAACTTTATGAAACCGTTATAACTAAATTAATTAAAATGTAACTTCATTTAAATCAAATTACTTGTTGGTAAATTATTTTTGTAATCACGTTCCATTCGTCATAAAAGCCCGTAATTGGGATAGGTAATAGTGAACAAAAGCTCTTGCGTTTGCAACATAAATTTAGTCTGTAATTATTAGCATAGATTTAACGTTAACATTCCGAAATATGATCAAACAACTGCCATACCTAGATGATTATTATTAACCGAAAAATATAGCATACGTACCCGCGTATTTCGTAATTATTACTTACCGTATGTTTAAAATTCACAGAGCCGTACTGGAAACAAATTTCATATACTAGTAATAAAAAATAAGAAAATAAGAAATTTGTCTTATTCTCATTACAATATTCGTTGCCTGCTAATTCTTATATTGAGTATATCAAGGTAACCTCTTGTTGGTTTAAAAATTTAAAAATCTACGTACCTACCTATTTTTTACTTCACTCCTGCTTATTAGCTCAATTAAGTTAAACCGATTTGTATTTTTAAAACACCTGAAAACAATTATTATGAGGTAATTTTTTCAGGCGTAATTTTCGAGAATACTGTAATTATGATCGCTTTGGAAACAATTATCCGATGACTGCGAGCAGTATTTGTATACAAATGTTGCAATTTATTGATCAAGTTTTTTTTTACACAAGAGTAGGCAGTTGTGGATTTTTATGTAGTCGTAATTAGTATAAAGAAATAATTTTTCGGATATAAAACTATGACTCGATAATGGCGCTGCATAATAGCTTGAGAAATTGTTAATTAATACGAAATTTAGTCCGACGGCTATTTCAAACTAATAAATTACGTTTGATAGAAATGTAATTTATTGTTTAACTCGTATGGTAAGAGCTTTGTTATTAAAACTACTTTTAAATAATAATATTGCTTAGATACGTCGAGGTTTTAATTAAAACGTTTAATTTCAAAAACGTTTTAAAAATCGCCTTTAGGTGTTTTATTTGATTCCTTAATAATCAAATTAATTCACTCAAGCTCCCTATCGCTATAAATTTTATTGGTCATAGCAACATTTATTTTATTATAACAAAACTAGATATACTTTTCTTCGATTTCTTGTGCTTTTAATTAAATGACATGCACTGTACTATTATCTAAACAGTTAAGAATACTAGATAATCCAGTAATTATTTGGCCTTATCTGTGTTTCTATTGTTCTACACGGAATATGCCGTTGTTATTGAACCTGCAGCGATTATAGAGATAGTAATTACTTAGAAAAACCTTTTGTTCCGCCTACGAATCTTAAAAAACAAAGAGAAATGAAGCCTAATTGTACCGCCTACACGAAGGCGAATTGAGCGTTTATAGTCGCGCAAAATGCTCGGATTCATCGAAATAACATCAATAAAATGTAGCTAAACATAGATATTGTTGGGATCAGAATAGAATAGAGCCAGTTTTTTTTAAAGCCGATCCGAAGTGTTAGGAGAAACTTATTTTTTAATCAAAATTTCTGTAAAAAATGCGTCTTTATTATAGTCACCCGGTATAGTTTCAGAGAATTATCCAATGATTTTGTCATTATAAATAGAATATAGGAAACCTTTGTTTTGGAATTCCCTTCGAAAAATTCGAATTTTTTTTATCCAATATGTAGTTACAGAAGAGTTACGTAACCGCTATACGCGGAATATTTATCTCACGAATCGAATATTCCCTGCAAATTCGCTCGAAGATATATCCGGAGAAAATAGAAGCAAGCCTTGGCAACGGCGTACAGGGCATCAGGGCCTATATTACATCCCTATGCCCATAACCGTTAAAACATGACTGCAATACAATATCATCTCTAGATATTGATCGGGATGTGTACGGATGTATCATTTGTGCGGAATAACAATTTTCCTCCGCTCTCCGGCCGAGGCTAGAATGCCATTACTCCCCGCTTTTCAATGTTTTCATTTGCCGGAATTGGAAATCGGCGGACCGACGTCGAGGAATCAAATATTGATGGGATTTATGTTAACGAGCACGCGGGTATTTCGGTATTTGCGGGTCAGCAAGCTCCAACGTGCAATTACTGTTCCTGGTATTACCTATTGGATTTTTTAATCGGCGATTTATAGAAGAAAAATATTGCTGCTTTGTGTCTGAATTCGGATAAGAAAGGTTCGCTTTTTAAGTGTAGTGCAAGAAATATCTGAAATTCAATAAAGAATGAAATGGGATTCAATGGAGCGTTTTATAAACGATACTGACAGTAACAGATTTAATATAGAAAACAATATGGTAAAAATAAATTATAAAAGAAAAGGCATGTTTAAAGTGACACGTCTTATAACAACGTGACGTAGAAGAGAAAAATTTTACCCCATTTGAACAAATTATAGCCGTAAACACCCAAATACAGTATAGTAATAAAGGTTGGTGGAAAACGCGCGTAAAAACTATACAAATCCATAAAACCCTCAGTCGCAACGGTAAAAATTCATTTTTTACAGCTCGACACGGAGTTACCCGTACCAACCTAATAGAGCGATTTTCCCCGAAATCATTCCCCATAATGTGGCATAAACGAGCGTTTTCCCACTAACCACCTGTCCTATCTCCTCGCGCGTCGCCCCCTCTCCTTCCCTTAGTCCATTTCCTTCCACTTTCTGGACAAAAGGAGAAACTCGCCAAGCGGACAAGAGGTATAAATCAATAGACCAATGTCAGAGATACGGGGGGATTTATACAGAGCAATCTCGATGTTTGAACGGTCCTGCTCGAGGCAACATGCACAATTTACCAGGCGAAAATTTCACTTGCCACCAATTTTCCTGCTGTACATTAAAATGTCTATTGGACCAGCTCAGCTCGCTACATCTCCAAAGTTATCGTTCGAAATATTTCGATATGGAAAGGAGACGAATAAAATTTATTAAATACGCATACCGGCAAGAATTCGAGCAAGATAAATATTGATAAAGCAGGAAAAAAGCGCAATAAATAATCGACAAACAAACACGCCCGGCGGAAGAACAAAGAGGGATAAGTTTTCGTCCAGCTACTTCGACCTAGATAACCCCGAGGCGTCCTATCTTCTATTCGAGGCCTACATCCTTCCTAGCCTCCCGCTCGATCCTTCGCCGCTCCCCCGCGGGGCGAGCGGGACGTACGCGGGCGAAAGGGGGGACTTGTCCCTAGCAATTCGTCGATCAATTGCAGAAGCTGCTCGTTAAGATTGTTTACGCACTACAGACATTTTCCGAATGGAATAAAATGGAATTATTCGATATGCAGCGGCGTCCCGCCGGGTGGCTCGCTCCGATTCTCACCGTGAAATTTATCGTTCACTCTTCGAATAGGATTTTAGCGACATTGGGGATGATTTCTACAAACAGCAGTTTCGTTTAAAAGCCTTTTTGTAACTAATTTTAATGATGACAGTTGACAAATAAGGGTTACCAAAACACTTTTTGGCGCTTTATCAACTCCTCGATAACAAATGTTTCTGTAGGCTAGATTTTAAAGTACCGGTAATTATATGTTCGTACTGCAGCGAAGCTTTTGGCATTACAGATGCCAGAGCCGGCGTCGGTCAGAATTTGCAGCTTCAGAAGGCCGCGTGTCCGATCGAGCCCGTCTCGTACCAGCTAGGTGACATTAGGAAGTTCGAATGCCCGTTGTGCGATATCCTTATGCCCAGCGTCAGCGAGCTAAGGACCCACATCGACGATCACTATCCTAGAGATAGTCCCGTCTGTCCGGTATCGGAGTGCGGGAAGCTCTTTTCCCATCCTAATTCTGTTAGGAACCACATGCGGACGAAACACTCTCAGCAATGGGAGATCATGAAGTCTGTTAGATGGAGCTTATAGCGCCACGTACGCGCTTCGTAGCCTCTGTGGACATAAATGCTACGTTATAGATTTTTGTAATCAATTTATAATTCTTAGTTTCATCCCAAGAGGTTGTGATTTAGATGTTTGAGAAGATGGTGTTAATAAGGCTTTGATGGGTCATCTCTTGTTATTGATTTTTTGTAGTTTCAGGCTTTCTATTGGTAACTGAGCCCTTGGGATGAAAATTTTAATGTGATTGTACAATATATTTGTTTAAAGTTTTAATCACAGTATTATTTAAATTGTTGTATTACATTTGTTTGCCATATTTTAATTTCACTCAAAAATTATTTTCGATTGGATCGAAACGATTTAAATGTACCTAATCGAACCTGTAACATTATTTAGTCTAATTTAGTTTTAGTTTATTAGTAATTAGGGATAATTTTAGAGATTCTAAATCGATTGTGTGATATATTACTGCGTAATATTTATTTTGATTCATCGGGAGTGTGTAAATGTAATGGGAAATTGATGGGGGGTGCGCGCGCTTTAATCGGAAAACGTTAGGCAACCCGAATTATCGCTACGCTGCGATGTTGTTTGCCTGAATTTAATTCTACAGTAATTCAAGCGAATAGAGCAAAAAGCAGAACCGTAATTAGCCCGATAACCCCGCGAAAATGTATTAATTAATTAATAATTGTATTGTTTGAGGAATTTTACTGTTGGAGTAAAAATGGATCTAACAATTATTTACAAGGAGGCGTAATATAATAGTTATTGGTTGATTTATTAGTAAATTCCCACACATTTTACCAAAAATAAATTCTTGCCATATGTATATACTATTAATAGTTTATTAGAATTTAAGAAGCTTGTTTAATAAATGCGAATACTACAAGAAAATATTATCTTATTAACAAAACTCACAACTTCAACCTACAAATTTTTGCGATTAAAATTTTACTTCATTAATTATTATTATTCCAGTATCGAGGCGATCGATGGACATGTTGAGGGTACGAGCGACCGACCCGAGGCCCTGTCCCAAATGCGGGAAAATCTACCGATCGGCGCACACCCTGCGCACCCATCTCGAAGACAAGCACACGATATGCCCCGGCTACCGGTGTGTCCTCTGCGGTACCGTCGCCAAATCCCGCAATTCGCTGCATTCGCACATGTCTCGACAGCACCGCGGCATCAGCACGAAAGATCTACCCGTCCTACCCATGCCCGCGCCCTTCGATCCGGAACTGGCCAGCAGGTAATATCCTCCACTTTTATCCTGCACGTTATGCAACTATACTTACACACACCTAAAGGTGTAGAGAAAGTGCGTCATATATGGACCACCATAAGCACTATGGTTATTCGCACGAATTTTCGTAGGAAAACTGCTTCCTACAAGCTACCAGCAGGATGTTTTTGTGGTAGTTTCATGATTTTAAATGTTTACAGGTTATTGGCGAAAGCCGGAGTGAAAATAAGCCCGGCGGAGTTGCGCGCGAGGGCTTCGCCGACGGGCCCGCGCCGCTCCGACGTAAAGCTCGACGCGAAGAGCGCCTACTCGGGCGCCGCGTCCGAAGCGGGCAGCTCCATCTGCGGCGACAACGATCCCGAAGACCTGACGATATCCAACCAAAGGTACGGCGGACTGGATTTCGGCCTGTCTCCACCGATCAGCCAGCAAAACCACTTCAAAACGAACCGGTCCGGGCAAGCGGTCGCCGCCAAGAGCCTCGACTCGCTGCAGCACCTGTCGAAGGAGCCGTACCCGGCGCCGCTGGCGCCGCCCGTCTCCGGCGCCAACACCACGGGCTCGGCCATACTGGACACCTACCTGCAGTTGATGATGTCGACGGAGCAGGCGGCGGCGGCCATGCAGGCGGCCAATCTGGCGCAGCTGAACGCCATGGGGCTGGACAAGACGTCGCAGCAGCAGTTCCTCGAGAAGATGCAGCAGATGCAGAACGCCAGCGAGCTGATGATGAAGAGGAACGACGAGATCCGGCGCGGCGAGGCCGAGATGGTCAATCACGATAGAAATAACCAGGAGAAGCATCCGGACGATGGAGACACCTCCGGAGGCGAAGAGGACGATTACAGCGAGGAGGAGATGGAGCGGGAGAGCGTCAAAGCCGGCGGGGAGTAGTGATAGATTTTATTATAGAAGATTATTTCGAAGTGTCAGTTATTGCCGCATGTCTTGCCAGATGGTTTGTTTACTGGTTGATGGTTGATTGGTCTTGCGATAAGACCGGGGATTGTTCTCATCCAGTAGGTACTCTGTTATTCCATCCAACTACCTCAGTTTGAATCTCATTTTTAAGATATTTATTCAGACGTTTGTTTTTGTTTCGTTTACGGTTGTAGCTCTGTGAGCTTTAAAATAGCTAATTAAAATCCTGATAGTTTCTAGGGCGTATAATTGGAGGAATTGATCTCTTTTAGAATTCCACAATGCTATCTTTTTATCTTCTATTCTATCACTTATTTATCTGGAGTGTTAGAAGTATTGTTGTTTAATGCATTTAATGGGAAATTTTACTCTTGTAAAAACTACTTTCTAGAAACTATTTCGATTCGAAAAACTATCATGAAATTAATCCATCCGACTACCTCAAATATAGTTATGTATTAATAAAATGAGTGCAAGATAATAAGGGTTTTAAAATGTATACGGTACGTTTAAGGTAAAAAAATACATACGGTAACGCTTTGTTACTTCGTTGCAGTTATGAGATAACTAAAAAAATGGATTTGATGTTTTTCAGAGTAATTTTTTTTCAAAGAAAACTTTGATATTGGTTATCATTTTGTCAGATAAACTAGTAGGTTACTAATTCCAAGCAAAAAATGAGTCCAATATTGAATTTTTTTAGTTGCTATCGTAAACATATTTAATAATATTAACAATAAAAAAGATATCTAAAGTTAACTATACAAGGTGATATGTATACAAATATTAAATATGTTTAATAACAATAAAGTGTATACAAGTCTATCCAGGTGAAAATGGTACAAAGGGCGTTTTTACCTTTACAACAATATTTTTGTAAGTGTATCTTTGAAGAAAATATCGAAAAATTTCGATGAATTTTTTACATTTATTCGAAACAGAGCGAAAGGGACTTATTCGGTTCCTTTGCAAGGTAATAAGCAATTTCCTTAGGCAAAGTAACAATCAGAGATTTTTCGAATAAACAATAATTAGTGAATATTTGTAAATAGAACCGTATACTAAAAAAGGTAAATCAAACTTTCGTGTCTTCGAGAAAGTGCCTTAACTAGGCACTTTTTTTAAGGTACAGTTTGGTAGCCTTTTTACATATATCGTACTCAGGTTTCAAACAATATCATTGTTATCAAGTACAAATTGCCGCGAAACATTTTATTAACAGTATATCAGGGATTAACTCAGATTTTTTTTTCAATTTATTTGTATACAAAACTTTGCGCTACGGCTATTTGAGAATTACAAAAAAATTGCACAAATTGATTCTTCAATAGATAAAAAGGTTTCTTCTTTTTTCTCTTCTCCATATGATTTTGGACATTATAAAACAGTTGGTAGAATTGATAATAAAAGCTGTTATTGATTGGTTGCCACTACGTTATTGCCAACTTAAAACTTATTTAATATTCCCCTAGATTTTTTTGTTTGACTAAATAGCCGTACCGTTCCGAACAAGTTTTTTGTTTAGTCATAAACACAGTGATAAAATCAGGTATAGCTCATTAAAGAGAATTGCATTTAGAAATATTTACATACATTGCATATTATATATTTCAAATATACCGTCGGGTCAGTCATTAGTCGTAAGTTAATAGTGCTTCATTCGTGTAGACTCTAGTACTTCCAATATACAACTTCCAAACGAAATGCGCGTCTACGAAATACAGGGTGTCCCAATGAAAAGTAGCCCATTTAAAAACATGCGGTTTTCGCAGCCTATGTTTTATCTTGTTGTAACTTTTGTTACAGTGACTCAGAAATTATGCATTACCAATACAGGGTGTTTTATCAAAGTCTCCTCTTTTAAATTCGCAGCAACCCTATTTTATTAAATGGAACACCTCGTATATGTAGAGGTATTCTGAAAGAACTTCTTTTCAAAATTGTATTATTTATACATGTTATTCTACAAATGAAGGTGTTACTTTTTATAAAATTTTGTTAATGCGAATTGGAGAGAGGAGATTTTGAAAAAACTGTAATAAAACTTGTACCAAAATAAAATATATCTGAGCATGTTTTCATGATTAGACGTTTAAAAATTATATTGGGCTACTTTTCATTGGGACACCCTCTACTTTACACATGTGATATGTGATCGTTTTCCCCAATAAGAATAAATATAATGTATACCTTAGATGAAATATGAAAACGTCAAAAACGTAGATTATTGTGTTGTAGACACTGCCAATTATCAATCGTACCTTTATAACTATTTCTTAGTTTTTAATCGAGCATAGTTATTCGTGCTGGGACGTTTTTATATTTCCGGCACTCCGTAGACGTTCTTCCATTTTTTCTATAAACGTTGCAATAGTTCGTAGATAAATAAAAATAGAGCGTTTTAAGGCGCTGCAATATATTGCATAATACGGCATCGAGTAGCAGTATTTTGGCAATATTTTGCAATATTTTGTTGCAATAAATTGCAATGTATTGCTGCAATATATTGCACCGTGTGAAAACGCTCTAATAGACAGTTTTCCCGTATGAAAAAGTACTTATGTTTATACCTCGATTGCTTCTCGCTATAAATAATAAAAAAAACTAATGGGTATATTATAGTTGTTGAATGCTTTTTGTTCGAAAACAGAGAATATGAAGATAGATAGTATATATAGCGATTTAGCACTAGACTAGAGGTTATTGTTAAATATTGAATAAGACGTAGCATATAGTTTACTAATGATCGTATGCCATAAAAACGAGCACCTCCAAATAAAAAAAATGTCTTCGTTGCGATTGAATTGCGCTAAAGAAACCAGTGAAATCGCTTTAATGACCGTACTTACCGGCGTAATTTAATCAATGAGGCATGTTAGATACTCACTTTGTGACGAAAGGATAGACATTATTACGTTCGGTGCTTCTTCGTTTCGCGTAAAATTGGATCATTTTTTGAGGTATGTTGTTGTATATAGTTAACAATTCTTGTTAAATTCGTTTAAATACTTTGTATATAATTTTTTCAGTTTCCGCATCGATATCTCAATTTACGTAGGGTTTTATTTGTTAATGTTTTAATAAGTACAAGTCAGCATTAGTTCGATTTTCAAATTATTTATTACCTTTTGATAGCTGCAAAATTAAATTGGTGGCTTTGTTCCAGTTGAGACGCTAGTTTTGAGCCTATTTCTCTTGCACAAATTTGTTTTAACAGCAAAATAAAAGCATCGCGCAAGCGTTAGAGAGTTTGGAATGGTTCAGAACCGGCGTTGGAAGAGTGCAGTGTTGCCACGTCCAGAAATTTTCGTGATTTTAAATAATTTTTTAACGCGATTTTGGAGGCATTTTGAGGACTTTTGGTAGACATTACTAATTGCTTAATGTTGTAAGGTGCCTCTCAAAAATTGCAAAACTCATCCAAACTAGGTACTCAAGTATCTTAGTGCTCTAAAAAGCCTTTTAAATGATTATAAACATCAGAAAATCTAGCGAAATTGAACTGGACTTGGCAATATTAGAAGCAAAGTGCATTGCTGATTTGTAAAAGTTACTGTTTTATCAGGAGCCAGTTTTGTCGAATATGATCTATGTGATGTATTTTTGATATTATTGTTTTTTCCATAATACCTACCTCATTAAGATTTTTTATATACAGTTTTTTATGACATAGAACTAACAGATCTCTGATTTACAATAATACTGGTATTTTTTGTACTTAAAACAATATATCAAAAAAAATAATAGTTTGTTAGTTTGTACAGTCGTTTAAATTAAACTAGTACATTACAAGAGTATCCTTTGTGTAATTAGAGGACAGGAGAAATAAATGGCGAGCTTAATACAGTGGGTGTGCAGTGCCATACTAGAAATAAATACGCGTTTCGAGAGTTTACTGCTGAGGCGTACTGTTTTTTGTAAATTGTAGATTTCTACAATAAGTCTTAAGAAATGCAAATAAACCTTAGAGTGGTTCCTAATTATAAGTCGGTTCCTCAACAATATATTTTTCTGTAACAAAACACAAAGTTCACTAAGCAGCAACTAGGTAAAAATTATTCATTGTGATTTTTTCGAAAAGTTTCCACCACAAATTTTTCCTGCAAAGAAGCCGAAACAAGGAAATTTCGTTTTTGAGGGGTATATCCAACTAGCTTATTTTCAATCCTGCTGTTTCCCCCTCCTTGGGCAGGATTACGGGACAAGATATACATATATGAAGGCCATTCAATTCTCTTTATACTGGTGCTTTTAAAATGAAAATCTAACCATATGTTCTCAAACTACGAATTTTTTAAGCCAGGAACCTTCTTGACACCCTGCCTAAAGGGGTGAAACAACAAGAATAAAAATACACTAGTTAGATGTCTCCTTAAAACACAAAATTGGCATATTTTGGCTTCTTCGCAGGAGAAATTTGTAGGAAAAACTTAGTTAACTAGTTGCAGCTCGAAAGCTTTTTGTAAATATAAATTTTCTCTTCTCGTCGTTCGCTAGGGCTCAAAATTTTATTGTTGGGGGACTGGGTGCCTTCATTTTTATTTTAAGGGCCGCCTGACGGATGGTCTGTCGCCGGGGCGGCCGCCAAGAGTTCCTAAACCAAAAAAATAATCCCTTCGTTGTGGAGAAAAAAACAATTAAAATGAATTGAGAAAATTAAACATGTAACGTTTATATAGCATAGTGAACTGTTATAATTCCGAAGTATAGTTTTGCTAAAAAAAGACGGCAGAATCGTATTATACACTATTATTAATAAATAAAGAATACGTGTATGTGTAAAACTATAATGAATATAGAAAATACCTGTGTATGTTTGAACAATTATTTGCATTTCTTTTTTATTTAACTCATGTACTTAATTCTTTTTTTTGTAAAGAAAGTTTATTTTTGAGATTTTTTATTCTATTATTTTCTAAAATGTTCCTCGTTTTGAGTTTAAGGAGTTAAGTTTTTTTATTATTATTGTTAGGTTAGAGGTAGGTGCAATAAGATTACTTCGTAGAAAAGAAAAAAAGTTATGAGAAAATACTTTTGCCATATTATTATTATTCTTTTTTTATCTTTATTGTGTACTGCTTGGGTATCGTTTATACATAATAAATTAATATTAAAATATATCTGGAATTTAATTTAACCTTAATATTCATCGAATTTTAAAGTTAATAGTAGATTAAATAGTGGGTATCATTATCCCCGTTGACAAAACACATAGCTCGATATGAGTGGTTATATTTATTATAATAAATTACAATAAATTAATAAAATAATAGAAATTATTCTGATTTACAAGAGACACAAAAAAATACAGTTGTCTCGAAATAATATCCTTAAATCCTAGGTAATACTAGGTGAACCTGGGTCCAGGCCCAGGACAGCCTTATGAGAAATTTTCGACGTTCAATTTAGTTTTACTCGATGCGTGTAGTTGGCGCGGCAATCGTTTTTTTTGAGAAACAGCGCAAGCAACCCACGCAACATGCCGTAGATCATTATTAACGATTTTTGAACATGTGCAGTTCGAAGAGTTTTGAAATTTTGAAATACAACCGAATAAATATTTCTTCCAACTATTGTTAGTTATCGATTATACAAAGTGCTTTGGTATTTGCTGTGAGTTTTATAAATGAATAATTTGTGTATTGTCAACGTGATTCTACCATTCTATTGCTACAAGACTTAGAAATTGTTGCAGCGTCGATCGCCATTTTTCCAAAGCAGATTTCCAATCATCGAAAGGTCTGAAATCAGACAAGATTGCTGTGTCATGCTTTCTTTTCAAGGTAAATATAATTAACATTCGTACATAATTTAAATCCAAATATCATTATTATCATATTAACTGCTTATTTTTTTGTTACAGAAAATGGAGATAGTTCTATTGGATTCGGCGAGCTACCGACCACCGATATAAAATGACTGGAGTTCTCAGAGAAAGGTTTGTGAATTATTTATTGTATTGTTAATAGGCCAAAGTACTTTAAAGTCTAAATTATTATTCATAATACGTAGGTTTACATTTAAAATTATGATGAACTATTTTAATATTGTACTATTTAAGTGTATTATATTTATGTGTATATATGTAGGTATTAAATTATATTGAATTAATTAATATCTAATTTTAAATCCGCAAATTTGTATGTTTTTTAAATATATATTTTTAAAATGAAACGTTTTTGTCGTTAATTTATTTGTGAAAGTAATTATTTTCGATATTATCCAATTTCTTGTAAAACTTGTACAATTTTTTATACTATGTGTCTATATTTAATAATTACATAAAATTCTTATACATTTTATATAATTATTATTATAAATTATAATAGTATAATAAATTGTACAAGTTTTACAAGAAATTGGATAATACGAACAAGAAAAAGAAAAAAGTCGAATAGAAAACCATTATTACACGACTGCGTTTATACTAGCCCCTTTTTACTATGCAACAACCATTACAAATTACAGTTTCCGTTACCATTTAGTACCACTCAGTGCTCTCAGGATGCGCTCTACAACGTCTACGAAATTCTCACGGCGATGTCCCTTCTTGTTTATGTATGTTCTGTGCCTGGGTATTCAAAAAGAACGATATCTGAATTTTTTGTGGTGAATTTGTTTGAAGAAATTCACAATGATTAATCTTGTTTCTACGCTGTTCATTCCCAGATGGCGCTAGTAGGTTAGAAACACGATTAAGCTCTTTTTTGTATTCCCTTTATTACCACTTCTACATCTACATAATAAAACCTAGATGTAAAGCCTCAATCTAGGTTCTATAACAGCACTGGGCCAAGAAGGAGCTGATGATAATATACGGTACCAAAAATTTTATCACTTTGAACAAGTATATTACTCCAGAATCATTTAGAACTGTCTAGAACAATTTAGAACGCTCCAGAAACATTTAGAACTGTCTTCAACCATTTAGAACGCTCCCGAAACATTTAGAGCTGTCTAG